GTATAATACAGTTGCCAAATACATGGAGAAATTATACTGAATTTAATAAACCTCCCAATTGACAACTACAACACTATAATAATTTACAAAGAGCTTAGAACACAAAACAGAGCTCAACATTCATATATCTAATTGGCTACAGAACATTTCTCTCTCAACGTCCGCAATGTCAAAATCCATCTTTCATTCCAAAAAATGGTTCTTTCTGATTCTAGCCTTTGGAGTTCTATAGTTTTGTTTTTTAGTTTGTTTTTTCTTTTTGTTATTTTTGGTTTTGGTTTCACAATATTCAAGATTGAACTCAAGACATCGTGCTTTCTAGGCATGTATTCTACCATTTGAACCATATTCCTCCCAATGTTTTTTTTTTGAGAGGGTGCTGGTACCAGGGCTTGAACTCAGGGTCCTTCACTATTGCTTGACTTTCTTCTCACAGCTGATGCTCTACCACCTGAACCATACCACTAATCTGGCATTTTTCTGGTCAAGAGGAAATAGAACCTTTTCCAGGGTTACCTGTAAACCATGATTTTTCAGATATGCACCTGAGAAGCTAGGATTATAGGCAGATGCCACCAGTACTTACCTTGACTCTATCTTTCTTAATAGTTATCAATATGCACCAAGTAATTAAAAGACCAGAATTTGGTAAAGTACTGAAATTCTAATTCTGAATAAAGTAATGGAAGTTTTGAGCATCTTATGCAATACAGTTTCGATTATTGACAGAAGAGTGGAAGCAAGAAAGCTATTAAAATCTAGAGTTTATGGTATATTGCATGGGGATCAACAGTCAAGCTAATGAGAACAGGATTGTTTGAGATAGTTTTCTTTTTCAAAAAATGTTATTGTAAAGGTGATATACAGAGGGGTTATAGTTACATAAGTCAGGTAATGAGCACATTTCTTTTGAACAGTGGTACCCCCTCCCAGTTTTTGTCCCCTGATCCCCCAAGTTGTATAGTTCATTTCCAACACAGTGCCTAAGTATCACTGCTAAATTGGTTTGGCTTTTATCCCACCATTTCTGTACATTCCTTTCCCCTCCCCAGATAAGATAAACTTAAATACAAGACAGAGTAATCAAAAACAGCAACAAAAGGGAATACACCAAAGACAAAAAGAAAAAAAAAAAAAAGAACCACAAGCAATACAATAAAAAAAAAACCTCTTCTTTCCATTTCTTGGAGTTTATTTCAATAAGCATCATTTTATATGATCATTTGCACAGTAGTTATTGAGCCCTTGTGATCCTCTCCTTCTCACTTTGTGAATGTCTACAGTACTGTTTAATTAATCACACCCAAGTGTAACTATTTGTCTCTTACTATCCATTGGTACTATCCACTTGTAGATTTAAAGGCACATTCTAATTATTACAAATGAGGTAAAGCATATGTTTCTTTGGGTGTGGCTTACTTTGCTTAATACAACTTTTTCCAAGTCTTTCCATTTCCTTATGAATGGGGCAATGTCAGCATTGCTGATGAAAGCATAGAATTTCATTGAGTACATACTTTTGAAAACAAAATTTGATAAAATATAATAATGTATGAATCCTAAGAACAGAATAGATAGTAAACATGGAGATAATAATTCTAAACCTAGTAAGTTCTTAGATATCTGTGACAAACCAATGTAAATATGTCGAGTACACATTACATATTTAATCCTCAGCCTCTAAAGAGTCTAAAGTAGAAATACAAATACAGGATTCAAAAACACATGAAGGCACAAGGCACTTAAATCCATGAAGAAAACGTGATGTTGAATTAAGTAGTTTGTACAACTACTTAGAGATAATTCTTAGCCAGGCACCAGTGGTTCATACCTGTAATTCTAGATACTCTGGAGGCTGAGATCTGAGGATCCCATTTCAAAGCCAGCCCAGGCAGAAAAGTAAATGAGACTGTTTATCTCCAATAAGCTACTGAGAAAAAGCCAGAATTAGAGCTGTGGCTCAAGTGGTAAAGCACTAGCCTTTAGCACAAAAGAGGCTCAGGGACAGTATCCAGGCCCTGAGTTCAAGCCCCATGATGGACCAAAAAATAAAAAAGGTAATTTTTAAAAATTTAATTAGAGCTTAAAAATAAATAAATCCAAGGAAATGAATGAGATCACATTGAAGGTGGCTCAGTGATAGAGTGCTTGCCTCGCATGCATGAAGCCCCGGGTTCGATTCAACCACACCACATACACAGAAAAGGCCGAAGTGGCACTGTGGCTCAAGTGGTAGAGCACTAGCCTTGAGCTGAAGAGCTGATGGACAGTGCGCAGGCCCGGAATTCAAACCCCACGACTGACCAAAAAAAAAAAAAAAAAAAAAAAATGAGCTTACCATAAAAGAGAAAAGGGAAATAGATGAATCTTACTGTCCAATGAAACCAAGTACCAAAGGGAAAATACCAAAGGGAAAAGCAGAAAAGTAGTGCTCTTTTCTCCTCTCTGCCTTAAAAATCAAAAACAAAACAAAACAATCTTTCAAGATAATCCTCTGTGAAATATTTGGCACTTCAAATAAAAGCTATATTTCTTAACTGGATCTTTCCTACTCCCTATTTATACTACTAGTCTTAATATGCGGACATTTTTACATCCCTAGTTTAGCACTATCTGTTGGCTTCTTGAGAAACATACTGTTCTTTTTTGTGTTCATATCACCAAGCATATCAATTACCACAAACTCACTGGGTCTTTATGGTAATTACCTGTCACAAAGAATTGTGTATATGTGTGTATTGTTTTGTGTGTGTGTGTGTGTGTGTGTGTGTTTTACTGAGAATAGAACCCAAGGCCTTGCATATTCTAAGCAAGTACTCTATCAGTGAGCTATATCTCTGGTCCTTGATTCTTTTGGGAAACAGCATCTCACTAGCCTAGGCTAATTTCAAATTTGAAATCCTCTTGCCTCCAAATTCCAAATGCTGGGATTTCAGGTATATACAATCATGCCAACCAGAAATCTTTAGTTTAATATGAAAAATAACAAAAAACATAACTTATCATTTTCAATATAAAAAAGATTGAAATAATTTCACCATATCTGAATGTATATATTAAATATTAATAAAAATTTTAAAAACAGTATTTGCTTCCTAACAAAATAAATTTTATGAACTCACATGTTGAAATAAAACTCCTTTAAACAACTACGTATCATTAAAAAAAATAAAATCTATAATCTCTGAAATTTAGTCCTATTTTTCTGATTGAAAAAAGAAACTCTCTCTTAATAGGACTATGTAGGCCTCAAAATGCTGGAAGTGGCACTGTGCATCAAAGTGGTAGAGTACTAACCTTAAGCAAAAGAGGTCAGGGACAATGCCTAGGCCCTGAGTTCAAGCCCCACAACCAACCAAAAAATATATATAATTATACTTAATGCAGAAAAGAAAATGTCTCTTTTTAACAATGCAAAATAAAAACTGACCTATAAAAATGTTAATGTTAAATACATATGAATATTAATTCACAAACCTATTTTCAGTCAACTATAAAAGGAAAGGATTTAAAATGCTAAAAAGCCAGGAAAATTCTAATACAACATTAAAATTAAACCATTCCAAAAGTACAAAGGTGAATCTAACAGAGTACAAACCATTCAGGAGCCAACTGACTCTAAGGAATTACGGTTTTTCAAGGAAAGACAAACATAAGCCAAAAAGAAACTAATACCTTTGACACTAGTGTTTTCCATTGTATAGAGGTAATCCATATAAAAAGCTCCAAATCTTTGCATTCCAGCAATCTCAGTGTAAGTCTCCTGCCAACAAAGCAATGCAAGCACAATGTTTTATATAAGAAACTGTTAAAACCTGTCAGGGCAGACACATATCCTTATATACATTGTATCAACTCAAAACAATGGCCAAAACAAAACTAGATACAGGTTATCCTATATTCTTTCTCAAGAAAGGTAATGGTATTTCTACCATTGTATGGAGCATACAAAAGGACACCCATAATTTTACAACATTTTGACTACTTTATCAGTGTCTAGTTAATGATTATCTTTAGTAAGAGTACATAGTACACTCTTGACCTTTAACATCACCACAAAATGCCTAATAATGTATACTTTGAATAGTGTTAGTTCTTAAAACTAGTTCTTTAACACACTTATATGAAACAGTCCAAACACTGAACATTCACTAATCTCAATGTTTGTTACTTAACAGTAATACTGAATTGTTTACTTTGAACTATGAACTGATTTGGGGGGGGGGGCAGTCCTGGGGCTTGAACTCAGGACCTGGGCACTGTCCCTGAGCTTCTTTTGCTAGCACTATATCACTAGAGCCACAAAACCACTTCTGGCTTTTCTGTGTATGTGGTATTGAGGAATCAAACCCAGGACTTCATGCCTCATAGGCAAAGCACTCTACCACTGAGCCACCTTCCCAGTACATATGAACTATGCAAGTAAATCTCAATGAAAAGGTTAACATGTAAAATATACATTCTATTAAATCTTCAAGTAACATTTTCATTTTTTATTTATTCTATAAATTTATTAAAATTCCATAAATAGTTTATCTGAAGTAAAATTTTCAGACTATACTAAAAGGCATACATGGTATCAAGTCAAATTCTTTCCTTCTCATCAATCCCACACTCTGGGGTTTACATTAACTAATAAAGATAACTCTACATGCCGGGCGCTGGTGGCTACTCAGGTAGCTACTCCTAGCTACTCAGGAGGCTGAGATCTGAGGATCGCCGTTCAAAGCCAGCCCAGGCAGGAAAGACCGTGAGACTCCTATCTCCAATAAACCACCAGAAAACAGGAAGTGGCGCTGTAGCTCAAATGGTAGAGCGCTCGCCTTGAGCTGAAGAGCTGAGGGACAGTGCCCAGGCCCAGAGTTCAAGCCCCATGACCGACCAAAAAAAACAAAAAAAAAAGATAACTCTACATGTTCCTTTCTTGACTATTTCAACAGCAGAACATGAGTAAACAAACTATGTTTATATAAGACATACAACTAAACATTTTCTATGCATTTCTTAATCATTTCTATATGCAGATGAAAGTCAAAAAATTTCAATAAGCAATTAGCATTTTTCTTTTTTTTTCTTTTTTTTTTTTGTTGGTCGTGGGGCTTGAACTCTGGGTTTAAATGCTGTCCCTACACACTTCAGCTCTAGGTGAGCACTCTACCACTTGAGCCACAGGGCTACTTCCAGTTTTCTAGTGGTTTATTGGAGATAAGAGTCTCACGAACTTTTCTGCCCAGGCTGGCTTTGAACGGCAATCCTAAGATCTCAGCCTCCTGAGTAGCTAGGATTACAGGCGTGAGCCATGGGTGCCCAGCTGCAATTAGTATTTCTGAAGACACTATTCCAGGACAAAGAAGGCAAAGACAAGTATTTCCACAATATGTCAACTCAATTGCTGCCTAGAATATGGCTCAAATATATATCATCTGACCTTATGATGAGTTGCATCCAAGATAAATTCTGCACGGGTACCATTATTTTCTGGGCTTCGATAATCAAATAATGAATTTGTAAGGTATGTCAAACCTTTTGTACTCAGATTTTCACCACAAATGAAGAAACATGCTTCCTGAAAACCAATATAAAATTTTGAACAGGAGTAAAATTCATTATTCTGCTTTAGAAAATAAAGCCTTGGTTTTGTAACACCCATTCACCCAACACACATTATTATAACTTGAGATCTTATCAACAGATAAGGAATGCTGTCTCCATTCCAAGTGTATATTTCATTTCACCAAACCAAAAATAAACTCCTAGCAGTTTCCATAAACAAAAAAAATTATGAACTAGAAAGTATTTGGAACTACTGTATAGGTACTAATTGCTGAGTTCTAGTTTCTTATAGAAAAAATAGACACACAAAAAAAACCCACCTATCTCAAAACAAAGACAGGAAGTCTTTTTTATATGGTTGAGCAAATTCATTATTTCTGCATTCTAGTCAAAAAAAGAAGAAAGGAAAGGGTTCTTTAAATTATCTTTAAAAAGTTGTACAAAGAAGCTCCCATTCAACAGGAAAGAAAAGTTTCTGACTTACAGTTTCACTTCTGTTCATATTTTCTTCAAAATCTTTAACCCCCATAATTCCTTTCAGACACATGGCTCTGCAACCTACAAACCCAATCTGGCAGTCAAAGAAAGGCTCTCCCATCATAAGAGCCTATAAGAAAAAGAAGAAGGTTAGAACTAGAATATGAATTTAACAAAAATGTTACAGGCTTTCTTTGAAGAATTTATAAATTAGTCAAACATCTTTAGGGCTATGGCCTTTCCAAACATACTGTCCTTTGATCATAAACTCTATTAAAGAAACTGTTCTTGCCTGTGGATCTTCAGCCTTTGTATCTGTAATTACTGGCACTTCATGATTATAAATACACACCTAGTATTCACACACATACAAGTTAAATGAAATCAATTCTTGTTATATATTACAATAAAGTATTTGTTAAAGGAATATTTATCTTAACCAATAGTAGTTACTAAAATAGAAACATGAAACTATAAGAATATGTTAAATAAACTATTATGACAGAATGCATATTAACTTTAAGAACATTCAAAACATTAAGATATTGAAAGCTTACCTCAATTGTAGTTCCTTCTTGTTCCCAACACAATACTTCTTTAGATTTTACCTTTTGGGGACTGTAATAGCTACTTTCAGCTTGCATTTCAGTGAGCTAAGAAATATAGGAATATAAAGTAAATCAACACTACTCTTAAATGGCAATAAACTATCATTTTATGATGAATTATGAAAACAGCCAATTTTAAGATTCAGGAAATTTCATTATTAAGCAGGAAAACAGGTGCAACAAAACAGGTGTAACAGATTTTCCATGGAACAGAGGTTGAATATGCTGGCCTAACTTATTTAAACCCCATTTAAGTCAGTACTGCTTTAAAAAGTGAAAGCTATATGCAGTAAGAGTGCCAATCATTAAATAAGTCAAAAATTTACGTATCTTATAACCTTCATTTCACTTTCATAATATACTCAATATGTCTAAATTCAATCATTTCCAAGAATAATTTTTAAAAAGAAAGTTTTGAATAAATTCAATCAAACTTTCTAGGTTCCTCAAAGGGATGTAGGACCCATAGATGTTCATTGTCAAAAGAGATCTCATCCTATATCTTATTCAGTCATAAAGTACTTACTGAGTTCAGGCTTTATAGGAAATATCTACTCAGATGGTCATAAAATAAAATAAATTACTTTTGCTACCAGGAATTTTATAACATATATTTATAAGTATCAAACTTCAGATAATTTGAATTACTTTAAATGTGCTTCTCCAAATGCAATATGGCATCCCACTTTAGTATTAAAAAAAAAAATTATGGGGCTGGGAAGGTGGTTCAGTGGTAGAGCGCTTGCCTTTCATGCATGAGGCCCTGGGTTTGATTCCTCAGCACCACATAAGCAAAAAGAAAAAAGCCGGAAGTGACGCTGTGGCTCAAGTGGTAGGAACACTAGCCTTGAGCTGAAAGCTGAGGGACAGCGTCCAGGCCCAGAGTTCAGGCCCCACAACTGGACTAAAATAAAAAAAAAATTATGAAAATCAGTCAAATATTTAACAATAATGCACCAGTCTTGACTTGTAGTGTGGCAAATGCATGAGTAGTGAGTGTAATGTAGCATAACAACAGGAGAAACTGAGTAAGTTGTCCAAAGCCAGTCTGGACAGAAAAGTCCATGTCCAATTAACCAGCAAAATGTCAGACTAGATATGTGGTTCAAGTAGTAAACAGCCAGCTATGAGCAAGAAAGTTGAGCAACAGGTTAGCTTCTAAATAATTCACATAGATCAGAGATTTCCTACACTGGTCTAGTTTTCCAACATATAATAGAATGACTGACTTCCAAATATATATATAGACATAATTTTTAACTGACTGGTGATGATGATCATTTTACTAAATAACTAACAGCTCTACTCTTTGAACTGTGGCTCTCAGGTTTACGACTTAAAGGAATCTTAAGTAATTTTATAAATTAAGTAATCTAGTGACACATGAAAAAAAGAAAGCTAAAAGGCTAACAAGAAATGTACTCAATACTTTACTTACGTAACTGAAACCTCTGCACATCACCTTGACAATAAGAGCTAAGCAAGAGGGCTGGGGAGGTGGCTCAGTGGTAGAGTGCTTGCCTTGCATGCCTGAGGCCCTGGGTTCGATTCCTCGGCACCATATAAGCAAAAAGAAAAAAGCCGGAGATGGCGCTGTGGCTCAAGTGGTAGAGCGCTAGCCTTGAGCTGAAGCGCTGAGGGACAGCACCCAGGCCCAGAGTTCAGGCCCCACGACCGGACAATCCCCCCCCCCCGCAAAAAAAAGAGCTAAGCAAGAGCTGAGGCCCTGAGTGTGTGTTTACACACACACACACACACACACACACACACACACTCCCTCTCTCTCTCAAAGATTAGCTTTAGCTAAGTAAAAGTTGCTAAAACAAAATTAAAGTTTTAAATGTTTTATATTTACATTGAGAACCAACTAATCATTCTCATTTTCTATATATTATACTTCTCATATAATATAATCCCTTATTTCTTGGAGGTTTCTAGTACTGGAATAGTCAAAGTTGCTATTTTAAAGTGAAATTCTTAAAGATAAAATATTGAAATAAGGTTCATTTTTTTAACTCAGCTGCCTACAATTACTGCAGAAAAAAAGCAATTAATTGATTAAAAGGACTGAAAGTTACAGGAACAATTTTAAACATTATTGGAAAAATGTTACATTTAATTTGGCATGATTCTTTTTGGACTGATATCAACTCTTCAAAATGCTAATGTAGAAACATGACCTTATTTTCTAACTAAAATATGAACCACAAATTAATTCCATACATTCTTCAAATCCAAGCCAAACAATGAATTCTAATGTTTTCCTCCTAAACATCAACATATTTCCCTTAGACAAATCTTTGAAAAACATAAATGCTTTAAAACTTTAAAAAGATATACTAACCAATAACAAATAGTACCCAAAACTCTATAAATGTTTTATATACATATACTTATCTTAGGATACTCAGATTAATATAATTCTTCCCATCAACAGCTTAGTAGAAATGTACTTGAATAATTTCAAGTTTAAAGTCAGCTGGTAAAATTCATCAGAAAAGATAGAACCTAATTAGCAATCATTGACTTTAATCAAAAACTTATGTTTGAAAAATCACAGCCTAGACTACTGAGACCAAAAGGTCTATGGGTAGCATTAAAGCTCATAAGAAGTGACTTAACAGGTCAGCTGGCAGAATGCCAGAATGGATATGGTGAGAAAAAGATAAAAGTAATGTCAAAGTCTCAGTAATTAAGTGGATAATGTTGCAAAATTGAATAAATTGTAGAAACTTAAGGGGAAAGGAAGACTGCAGAGAAAAATCCAGCATTTGTTTTATGTATGTTCAATATTAGTTATGCAAATAATAGCACAAAACAGGCAGTTGAATTCTAAAGCTTATGGTAAAGAGTGGAAACACACACTTGATATTCCATGAGCATATTTACATGATGATCAGATTACAACTATTTCAGGACAAGCAGATAAGATGATAGGAACAAAAACCAAACCTCAAATGCCAGCCAGCATTTAAAGGCCAAGCAGACTAAGAGGAAGAGCGAATGGTATGAAAAATCACTTACTAAGTAAAAATCCTAACAAAATTTTTTAAGAAAGTGTTCATTTAGTCTTTATCTGATTAATATTATGTAGTACAAAATAGTATTCAATTGTTTATAGGAGCATTTTTCAAAACTTTCCACACTGAAAAATATGGGATAGGACCCACCAATCCTTCCTTGATGCAGTTATAATCAATCCCTAAGCCACTCTATTCATTCTATAAGTATTTTAGTCCTAGACTCTCTCCCACATTACCATTGATATAATTCTTGATGGTTTCAATATCCACAGAAATTGTTATTCCTAAAGTTTGGTCACTGTTTATTCACCTCCTCTCCTCCAATGATCAAATCCACTTACTTCTTTTCATCGTTCATCTTTATTCAAGTGGTAGAATGAATAAATGACCAGAAAAAAAAGCAAAACTCCAATGACTGGCATGTCTTATAAGCTCAGGATCACTTTTATCTACTAGACCATAGTATCCCTAATAAACATATGTACTACAGTCAAAAATCATGTACTTTGCATTTTCCCTAAGATAACTATATTCCTTCTCTTCTTTCCTCAAGCCTTTATCTTTCTCTCCCAACTTTATCCTGAGTTCAGAAAACTCATCAAAGATAAAAACAATTAAAAGATAATTTCTAAAAGCCTCTCTACCATCCCATCTACCTAACCACTTATATTCATGAATAATCATGGTTCCCATTTCTGTAACTCTTTTTATGATGAAAAATTATTAAAAGAATCTTTTCTGTTAACTCCTATAGTGTCATTTGCATTTTATAAGTGCCTTATTTTGCATGGAAAAATATATAAAATTTGATAGTTTAATTATGTATCAGTGTACAATTCATAGGCATTATATACACTATGTTGTATAACACTTTACATTGTATAACTTTTACATTGTCTCACCAGTTAGGCACTGACTCCCCACTCCCAATTCTCTTAGTTTTGGATATCTATTCTACATTCTGTCACTGTGAATTATTCTTTTGGGGGGTCCGGTCATGGGCCTGAACTCTGGGCCTGGGCACTGTCCCTCAGCTCTTCAGCTCAAGGCTAGTGCTCTACTACTTGAGACACAGCGCCACTTCCGGCTTTTTTCTTTTTGCTTATGTGGTGCTGAGGAATCGAACCCAGGGCCTCATGCATGCAAGGCAAACGCTCTACCACTAAGCCACCTTCCCAGCCCCTGAATTTTTCTCTTCTACATACTTTATGGAAGTATAATTATACAATACTAGTCCTTTCGTGTCAGGCTCATTTCACTTAGCAAAATATTCAAGCATTTATCAGAACTTCCTTTATGGCTCAATAATATTCTACCATATGTATAGCATTTAAACTGTTTATACTTTTGGCCATTTCAATTTGTGCTATTATGAAAACGAGTGCACATCTGTCTGTATCCCTTTTCCATATCCTACATATTCACAAGACATCCTCCTTAACAAGCCATTTCTTAAAGATTTCCTTCCCTATAAGGCCTTTCCTGACCATCCAATTTTAAAGTGCATAATCTTCCTGTTACTGATACACTCACTATTCCGCCCTCCATTTTTATTTTTATATTTTACTGTAAAAGAGGAGTTACAGTTACATGAGTAAGGTCATGAGTACATTTCCTATAGGGCATTGCTACCTCTTCCTTTGTTTTTCCCCTACCATCCCTTCCCAATCCACCTCCCCAACTCCTCCCCCTCACCAAGTTGTAAAGTTTGTTTTCAACATAATGTCTTGTGCATCTCATTGTTATAATGGGTCAATCTGTATCCTCATTTCAGCATTTTGTTATTTCCCTTCCCCTCCCAAATTTGAAATATATATATATACAAGATGCAGGGCACTGACATCAAATACAGTGAAAACAGGGGCTATTCTGTGAAGGAAGAACATCAAAAAGAAAAATATATATATATCACATAGTACATTTTAAATATGTTAAAAACAATAGCAAGAAAAAAAAACCACTTGTGTCCCTATCTTGGGGTTTATTTCACTTAACATCATCTTATATGGTCATATGTACATAGCTTTTTTTTCTTCAAATTTTTATTGTGATTAAGTTATTATATATTTTCCCAAATTTCACAGTATTGTGGGATAGTGATGCTTAGTTAAAGTCACAAACACATTCTAACTTTCATGGGGCAAATTGTCTATCAAGGTCTATAACATTTTATGAGCTTTGACAATACAGTTATTTCTTCCACATTGGGTGATGTGTACATTCCTTTCCTTTTGCATAGCATCAGCTGTTCCCTCTTCCCCACTCGTTCTCTCCCTCCCATCACTGCCATTGAGTTGATTAGTTCATTTTGATCAATGTCCAGTGCAGCTGATGGGCTCCACTGCTGAATGTTTTTCCCTAAGTCCCTCTAGTTCTGTGTCCTCCTCCTGGTTTCTCTCTGGTGTGCACATATATACCATATTTGTGATCAGCAGCGTGGGGTTATTTAGTAATGATTCGACCAGATGAGTGGAAGTCCTTTGTTTCTTAAGCCTAGTTAATTTTGTCATATCACCTTACTTTTTGGATTTAACATCCACTTATCAGGGAGACCATGTGCTGTTTGTCTCTTTGCTCTTGGCTTACCTCGCTCAACATGATTTCCCTGCAAATGCCATCATTTTGTCCTTTCTAAGGCTGCTTAATATTCCATTGTGTATAGATACCACAATTTTTGAATTCATTCATCTGTGGTGGGGCATCTGGGTTGTTTCCATATCCTGGCTATTGTGAACAGTGCTGCAATAAACATGGAGATGCATGTGTCCTTGCATCCTGGTTCCTGTTGTTCAGGATAGATGCCTAGAAGTGGTATGACTGGGTCATAAGGGAGGTCAATATTTAGCTTTCTAAGAACCCTCCAGACTGCTTTCCAAAGTGATTGTATAACTGTACATTCCCACCAGCAGTGTAATGGGGTTCCACTTTCTCCGCATCCCCTCCAGCATTTGTTGTTGGCAGACTTTAGGATGTGTGCCATTCTGACTGGGGTAAGGTGGTATCTCAGGATTGTCTTTATTTGCATTTCCTTTACAACCAGGGATGGTAAACATTTCCTCATGTGTTTCTTTGTCATTTTTATCTCTTCTTCTAAGAAGTCTCTCTTTAGGTCCCTTGCCCATTTAGTAATTGGTTTGTTAGGTTTGGGGGGATTAGTTTCTTGAGTTCCCTGTATATACTGGATATTAACCCCTTGTCTGATATATTGCTGGTAAATACTTTTTCCCAGTTAGTTGGTTGTCTTTCTAGCTTGGTTACTATAACTTTAGCTGTGCAGAAACTTTTTATCTTAAGGTAGTCCCATTTTTTTTAGTCTCTCTCCAGTTTGTTGTGACCCTGGAACTCTGTTCAGGAAGCTCCTGCCTGTGCCTATAAGTTCAAGTGTCTCTCCTACTCTATCCTGCAGTAGTTTCAGAGTTTCAGGTTTGATGTTAAGGTCTTTAATCCATTTTGAGTTGATGGTGCATGGTGACAGGCTGGGGTCCACTTTTAGTTTTCTGCATGTGGCCTCCCAGTTTTCCCAGCACCAGTAGTTGAAGAGGCTATGTTTTTTCCACTGTATGTCTTTGGTTCCTTTGCCAAATATCAGCTGACTGTAGGTGTGTGGTTTTATTTTGTATATAGCTTTTGACCTTTTCTGCTTGTCCTAGTCTTATACTAGATATTGCAAATAAGGGAAACCATGGGACCTATGTTTCTTTGGGCCTGGCTTATTTCACTTAATAATTTTTTCCAAGTCTTTCCATTTCCTAACAAATGGGGCAATGTCATTCTTTCTGATGGAAGCTTAGACTTCCATTGTATAAATATACCATGTATTCTTGATCCATTCATCTACTGAGGGGCACCTGGGTTGGTTCCCTATCTTAGCTATGGTAAATAATGCTGCAATAAACATAGGTGTGCTAGTAGCTTTAGTATAACCTTGTTTGTGATCTTTGGGGTAAATGCAGCTCTATGTGGAGTCTTTTGAGGAACCTCCATACTGCTTTCCAAAGTGGCTGAACAAGTTTACACTCCCACCAACAATGCAGTAGGGTTCCCTTCTGGCTACATCCCCTCCGGCATCTGTAGTTATTAGATTTCTTTTTTTTTATTTTATTTTTTATTGTGAAAATACTGTACAGAGGGGTTAGATTTCTTGATTACAGCCATTCTAACTGGGGTGAGGTAGAATCTCAATGTTGTTTTGATTTTTATTCTTTTATGGCGAGAGAAGTTGAGCATTTCTTCATTTGACTATTGGCCATTCTTATTTCCTCTTGAGAGAAGTTTCTCTTTAAGTCTTTAGCCCACTTATTTATCGGGCAGTTGTTTCTTTGAGAATTTGTTGTTGGGGGATTTCATTTTTTGAGTTCTAAGTATATTTTAGATATAAGACCTTTGTCCATTGTATGGCTAGTGAAGATCTTCTCCCAATCCTTAGGCTTTCTATTGATCTTGCTAGCTATGTCCTTTGCCATGCAGAAACTCTGCAGTTTCATGCAATCCTATTTGTCCAAACATTTTTTTGATTTGTTGCGTTTCTGGGTCTTTATCAAGAAAATTTCAGTCTGTGCCAAGATGCAGAGCTGGTTCAATATACGCAAATCAATTAATATAAATTCACCACATCAACAAGAGCAAAGATAAGAACCACAAAATTATCTCAATTGATGCAGAAAAAGCATTTGACAAGATCCAACACCCCTTTATGATGAAGGCATTGGAAAAACTAGAAATCCATGGAACATTCCTCAATATAATAAAGGCTGTATATGACAAACCTACAGCCAGCATTATACTTAATGGTGATAAACTAAAGTCATTTCCTCTGAACTCAGGAACAAGACAAGGATGTCCACTCTATCCACTTCTCTTCTATTTAGTATTAGAATGCCTAGCTACAGCAATAAGATGCAAACATAAAAGGGATCCAAATAGGGAAAGATGAGTAAAACTCTCCCTCTTTGCAGATGACATGATCTTGTATTTAAAGAATCCCATGGACTCCACTCCCAAATTACTCAAGCTGATTTGAAACTTTGGCAAAGTAGCAGGGTATAAAATTACCCCTCAAAAATCAATGGCTTTTCTGTATGCCAATAACGAAAACAGCACAGCTGAAATCAGGAAAACAACTGCTTTTGTAATAGCTCCAAAAAAAAAAAAAAAACCTTAGGAGTTAACTAAAGAAGTGAAGAACCTCTACAATGAAAACTTTTAAAACCTAAAAATTAAAGCAGAACTTAGAAAGTGGAAAAAACTCCCATGCTTCTGGATTGGGAGAATTCATCAAAATGGCAATACTTTCAACGGCTATCTACAAACTCAATGCAATATCTATAAATATTCCAACCTCATTTATCAATGAAATAAGAGAAGCAACCCAAAAATTCATGGAACAATAAAAGACCCCAAATAGCAAAAACAATCCTTAGCAGAAAGAAGAGTGCTGGAGAAATATCAATAGCAAATTCTAAACTCTACAAAGCCATACTGCTTGGTACTGGCACAAGAACAGACCTAAGGACCAATGGAATAGAACTGAAGACCCAGAAATGAATCCACAGACCTAAAACCACCTTATCTTTGATAAGGGAGCTAAAAAAATAGAATGGAAGAAAGACAGCTTCGTCAGTAAATGGTGCTGGCAAAATTGGTTAAACACCTATAAAACTAAAGCTAGATCCTTATATATCACGCTGCACCAGAATCAACTCCAAATGGATCAAAAACCTCTAAGTCAAAGTAAACACCCTGAAAACATGACAGGAAGGAATAAGAGAAACTCCATTTTTATTTTTTTCTAATGCTTATCCTCAATAGACATACTACACACTATATAATAACAAGTTCTAATGGGCAAGGCTCAATTTGTATCTGTTCACTACTATTATCTCTAGATACAAAATAGTAACTAGAACAAAAATAGAATTAACAAACAGATGTTGCACAAATTAAGATAGTATTTGGGAACAGGTGATATTTAAATTTTATTATTAAAAACCCAGGGAATAACTCAGAATTAAAGTTAAGGTACATGGCAAAAAACAAACATAAAAGGGGTGCCAAAAATATTTGTAAGTTTAAGCAAAAAAAGTGTTCACCTCACTTTTCTTTGTAAACATGTATTTATATATTCTGAGTATTTTGCATGTATCTTAGTGGAGGAAATGGTCAAAGTATGACAGAGTTAAAAAAGGACCTAGGTTAGTAGTTGGTCTGTCTTTACATTCAAGCCAAATTTGTTCCTTCTCACATTAAAAAAAGTTACACATAATTCTATAATATAGGTCCCTTCTCATATCATCTAACCCTCCAGAACCCCTTAGTCTTGTGTACCAGGATTCCATACAATTCTAATCCTACATTCAATTCAACTCTACTATGTCTCTGTGGATTCCTCATAATCTTCTGCCAGAACAAAGAATAAACACAAACATCTCTACGGGTTTACCCAGCTTGTGGCAGTTACAAGACATTCAGAGACATTACAGAGACATTCACTACACTAAAACCAGGATTGGTTTGTTGTTCTGCCAGAAGAGAATATGGAGAGAAAAGTCTCCTTCATTTAGGAAGGCACAACAGACAGCAAATTATCCAGGGCTACACAGAATGTGAAAACCAACCAAGCATGTAAAATGGGCCAAATAAAATACAGAAGTAAAAGCCAAGATGGTGAGATGTTCTCACATGCACCTATTTTAAATCATATTCCCAAAGGGAAGACAAAAGAAGAAAAGGTGAGAAAACAGGACAAGAAAAAAGAAAAGTAGAAATGCTCTAAAGATAGGAAAAAAACATACTTCAAATAATCTATCTGGGAGAGATCATACAATTTCATGAAAAAATTTTAAATTATATGTTACATTCAATGAGTTAAGCTAGAATCTAATTTGTAATCAAAATGAAAATGTTAACAAGTATTTTAATAGTAAAAGGAAAACCTACTTTGAAAGTCACAGTTGCCTTTGTACAGTAAAATCCTACAGAAACAATGGGATCCTTCAGAGTTTGTACTTTCTGTTGATGCATGGTTGGTGTAGAATCGTGCCCCAGGTAGTCTTCCTCGCCATCATCATAACTCACAATTGCAGGAACAAATGACCAAGCCCACGATACCCATCCCTGTGGCTGCTCGTCATCTAGTTGTGAATACAACTCTTGGCCTTTGTACTGAGCAGGATACTGCATATCTATTCTTGTTTCATCTTCAGCACCTATCAATCACATTAAAGAATTTTAAATCAAGAAGAACTAAGAACATAAAATTCTTTAAAATGTTTTTTTTACATATACTTTCTAATAAAGATATTAATAAATCATACATCAATTTGTTGAAATTGGTGGAAATAGTTTAGAATTATCATTCTCCAGCTCTATATATTATACGCTGTCAATCTGTTCCTGTGGGTTAGAGTTAATATTATGCAGTACATAACTTTAAATGTTTAATAAGTACAAAGAATAAGCTATTTCTTTAACATTTCATTATTTTTTAACCTAAAAAAAATCCTGCCACACAAAAATAAAGCTAATATTTTGAAAGAGTAATTTTGCTCTTGTCTAACTAATTAAAATAGAAGGTTGCCAGGAATAGTGACTCATGCTCATAATCCTAGCTACTCAGAAAACAGATATGAAGGATTGAAGCTAGATGCCAGTCCAAACAGAAATATCTGAAAGACTCCATGTCCAGTTAATTAGCAAAAAGTCAGGCTAGAGGCATGGCTCAAATGATAGAGTGCCAGCCTATACAGCAAGTACTAGTACTGACAAAAAAGAAGAAGAAGTGGGGAGAGCGAGGGGACAAGGGGAACAACTGCTTCTTTGAAGAAATAAGAGCCACAAACATCTGTTTTTTCAGATATTTAAAAAATATAAATATGCCAGTTAACCAGATACCAGACACCAGCTGGGTGCCAGTGGATAACACCTGTAAATCTAGCTAATTAGGAGGCTGAGATCTGATGATCATGGTTCAAAGTTAGCCCAAGCAGGAAAGTCTTATCTCCAGTTAATCAGTAAAAAGCTCTGTGGTTCAAGTGGTAGATCCTTAGTCTTGAGCACAAAAGCTCAGGAATAGAATTCAACCCACACCCACCCCCACAACACACATACAAAGACACCACAATACATTCATCAGAATGCAGAAAAAAAAAACCATCGGGAAAGTACTGCTTTTATAAAGATACAGAGCAACTGGAGCAATCATTCCTTGATGGGAATGTAAACAAGTAGAACTATTTGGGGGGAGGGGGGAGGGCCGGAAAGGGTCAAATGATGCTACTGAAGTAAGACAGGTAGATGAGGAGACAAAGAAATTAACAATATTTTTAACCAATAGCAAAAGGAGTAGACTTGGAAGCTGAAACAAGGAAGTAAACTGAAAAAACAAGCTCCCCTCCTACCATACCTCTTTTTAGATGCCAATTTACAAAACCAGGGAGACTAAAGAGGGGACCTAATTCTGCCTTCTCCTTTGAAATGGTAAAAACCACAAAATTCTTCATAAAAGAGTAGAGACAGAAAGATAAAAGGTCTGGCAAAAGGAAGCTCTAAAACTCACTCATTTTCCCTATCTTTTAGGTAATGCTCACAGCCATCCCCAAACAATGCTTGGGGATTGCTAGAAGACTTAGACCAGTGTACTGCCAGTACACAAAGTATAAAAGCTACAGGCAAGAGGAGCTACCATTTTGAGTCCTTAACCTTCTTTACTTGCATGGGAAACAGGAAATGCTTCTCTCTCCTCTATTTTTCCTTACTTTAACCTGTTACACTGAACTAGTAGCAAACAACAAAATACATTTTAACATATTCATAAAGCATATAATTCAGTCTACTGTATTTGTAAGAACTTTGTACGAGCAACAGTTCCAAATTAAGTTTTTGTTATACTTACCTGTAATGTTTCCTAACATGTCTTTACTGTGACAGGTAGGGTCCTCCGTTTCACAATCCCTAAAATTGCCTATTTCTCCATAGTAAAGAGCAATCCCAAGCTGCATTATACGGATAAACATAGGCAGCTGTTGATCTGTGATAGAAAGTTTTAAACTCTCTACTAAAGTATGAATCTGTATATTGGAGAAACAAAAACACCAACAAAAAACATCTTATAGGAATCTTTTTAGATAAGTACATAAATTTTAAAAGTCTTAATATAAAGTATCAGAAAGCACTGATGCCCCAAACATTTGTCATAATTAAGTCAAAATAATATCTATGCTATAATCTTACAAATTGAGTAAATTTTACTGTATCAATAAACATTAGATAAAAATTAGAAAAAGTCAAATTACAGACACAAATAGAATACTTAGAAGATATATTCATATTAGATTCCCCAGATAATTATTCTAGAAAAAATATATAACCAATTACTAAAGAATACAATAGCATTTCTACCTCACAATATAAATACACATGATATATCAAATCTAGTAATAAAGTTTAATGATGTCATGTTAGTAAAAGTTTGATCATTCTTACCAATTTTGTTAACTTAAAACAATATAATGCATCCTAAAATTATAAAAGGCTATAACTCATGAGCACAGAAATAATAAAAGTGTTGTTTTCAAAAATATAAAATCATGATGCTGGTGCTCCGCACCTTGTATATGTATTTTTGTAATTTGGGAAGGGCAAGGGATATTGCAGAATGCTTAAATGGGGATTCAGGCTGACCCATTGTGACGACATGTACAGGACACTATACTGAAAATGAACTTTACAACGTCCAGGTGGGGGTTAGGGAGACTGGAAGGCAGGAAGAGTAGGGGATGTAGGGAGGGAAGTGATGGTAGGGGGAAAATAAAGGAGGAGGTAACAATGCTTACTATGAAATGTACTCATTACCCTACTCATGTAACTGTAACCCCTCTGTACATTTTTACAATAAAAAAGAATATAAAATCAAATAAAATGTATTTTCAACAATTCTTCAGACAAATTTTAAATAGATTTAAATGTAACAAAATTCACACTAAGAATCAGTTTTTAAAAAATAAGATTTAATTACTACCAAATAGAATATACTGCATCCAAAGTTTTCGTTAAGCAAGAGACATCATGGAGTATAAACACAGCTTCAATGTAATGGCTTCCTGCTGTTATATAAACATGGAATAAAACCAATTAAGCCATAAAGTCAACTTTCTTAGAAGGTTTATTTTGACTAACTGGTATTTGAGTTTCTATGAAACATGAAAAAGAAATAATGGTAATCGTATTTTTAGGGCTTAAGGCAAAAAAAATTTATATTATCAAGGGAAGAAAGATGTATATGTGAAAGGAAAATAAAACAACCACAAGTTTCATTAACTGACTTAAAAGTCATACTTTGAATAAACTATGTAGAGGTAAGAAAATGTGAGTAAAAGGAGTATGGAGTAGTAGCTAAGCTTTGGGACTTTGTCTTTTCTGACAGGGTCTTTGAAAGTAGCCTAAGCTGGCCTAATACTCATAATTATCCTGCTTGAGACTCCTCAATGCTAGAATTACAGGTAGATGCCACCACAGGTAGTTTAAGCTCTGTTACATCTTTTTAAATACTTTATTCCACCAACAGCATCTGTGATAAGCAGTTCTGAGCAAAACCAGTGATATGAACCTATCCTTAACATGCTCATTAAAAGGGTTTTTCAAGACAATTAAAAAAGGTTAAGCCTCAGCAGACAAATGGAAAAAGAGCCAGAATGGACATTTCAATAATCAAATGGCAAGTGAACAATGTATTTTTAAAAGTCTAACTAATAAATATTAGTTATTTCTTTTGATCAAAAGGCTGGCAATTTTAAAATATCATATTTAAAGCTAGTCAGTGTATAAGCAGCCCCATTACTATTCATGGGTGTATATTATAGCTAAAATCTTTCTTGGAACAATTTTGAAATAGGCTGTACTGGAGTTTAAACTGCTTAATAAGAAATTTACAAGAGGAAAATACTTCCTAAGTAATTCATGTGAGATGTGGCCAGAGTTTTAAGTGCATATTTTCATTTCCTGGAAAAAAAAAAACATGCCAAGGATATTTTAAATATCAGGAATATGTTATGTACCCATATGATCTGCATCTCAAAAATGTCATTAAATTCAAAAAACACTTAAACATATGTGAAAAGCTTAAGAAATAATAAAGTATCTAGAGCATTTTGAGAAAGCTTATGTAAGGTTATCAAGGAGATTAACCACATTTAACACATATTTTCTAGAACTAGGATTAGAACAATGATAAGCCTAACTTAAAAGGGCAAATCTTGTATTACAGTATATTTCAAAAAAATTTAAAAATAGATATTGGTTGAGCAAAACACAATGCATCTTATATGTAATAATTACAAGAGCCAAAAACCATAGAACAACCACCTTCTTTATGTTGACATTTTTCACAATGAAATATCATGGCTGATCAATTTTGAGAATACAGAGTTGTTTATATGTTTGTACCAACAGCAATTTTTTTTCAAGTTCATTTGTTTTTAGACTAACTTCTAATTTAGTCAAATCCTAAAATAGATCATTGAATTGGCACTATATATTTTTCCATGCTGAAATAGATTGCATCACTTGTTCAAGGCCAGTCTGAGCAACAGAGTATCCATGTCTCGATACACCAACACACAAACAAAATAAAACATGTTTTTATAATGTAAAACATGCCTGTAATGGAGAGGTTGAGAGTGATCATAAACCAAGACCAACCTTGGTCAATCAGCAAGACTCTGCCTCATTCATGTATACATGTATGTAAATATAACCACACATATATATAGTGATATATATATATGTTTATGTTTTCATGTGCATATTAAATCTGTATGTTTACATATATATACATGCACATAAATATACAAATTTATATTCACAATGCCCAACCTTATAGCAGAGCCAAGCCTAAGAAAATAAGCTCATTTTCCTAAAACAGTATATTATTACATGTCAATACTCTTCCAGGCTTTGCCAAAGAAATCCACTCAAAAGTAAAGGGAAAAAACAATAGATTTAAACAAACAAGTATGCATTATATATCAGTAGCAGGTAAAAGTAAAATACAGAAAACTAAGTACTACCAAGAACAAAACAAGTGGACTTTACATACAAATATAAAGTATAACAAGGCACCAAAAAGTATTTTAATAAAATATAATGTGAAAATAACTGATTTTGGGGCTGGGAAGGTGGCTCAGTGGTAGAGTGCTTGCCTTGCATGCTCTGGGTTCAATTCCTCAGCACCACATAAGCAGAAAAAGAAGCCGGAAGTGGTGCTGTTGCTCAAGTGGTAGAACACTAGCCTTGAGCTGAAGAGCTGAGGGAACAGAGCCCAGGCCCAGAGTTCAGGCCCCACGACTGGACCCCCCCCAAAAAAACTGATTTTAATATTTTAATATTAAACTAACTTAATGTACTCAAGACAAAATACCACTGGCAGATATGAGGCAGCCCTTCTATAAGAGAATTTCATAGTCAGAAGCAAATAATTCAATAACAAAAACGTATTCCACATGAAAACTCACTACAGAAGTTCATTCAAGAAGATAATACTATGAAAACTGTTAAAAACAAAAGATGATAGTATTTATGCTTCCATAAAATTATACGTATTAAGCCGGGCGCCAGTGGCTCATGCCTATAATCCTAGCTATTCAGGAGGCTGAGATCTGAGGATCATGGTTCAAAGCCACCCCAGGCAGGAAAGTCCTTGAGACTCTTATCTCCAATAAACCACTTGAAAACTAGAAGTGGCGCTGTGACTCAAGCAGTGGAGCGCTCACCTTGAGCTGAAGAGAAGCAGGGACAGCGCCCAAGCCAAGTTCAAGCCCCACGACCAACCAAAAAAAAAAAAAAAAGCTATACTTATTAAGAAATATAAACCACTAACTTAGAAAACAGTAAATTTTCACATCCATCAAAAGACATATCTTAGAAAACTCAAATACTATAAAAGTTTATTATATTTTGAGACAATCAATCAAGAACTAAAAGTGTGTGTATGTATGTGTTTCACAACTGACCTTCACTGTATAACCCAGGCTGGCCTAAAAACTCACAAGCTTCATGTGTCAGTCTTTCTATCAGATAAGTTACAGACATAAGCAACTGTGTCAGATTTCCAAAGCTAATACTTCTGAAACTAATAAGCTAACATATTAGAATAGTACATCAAAGTGATAGTTATCTAAGAAAAATAATCAGTTATCATGCTGAACAATTTATAAGGATCCAAACACAAATTACTGATACTCAGTTCACCGAGCATATAGAAATATTTTATAAGGGTATAGGAGACTGATCCAGGGCATTACGCTACTGTTTAATAACTCTACATGAAAAGACAAACACCATTATTAAACATCTACACAAAATATCTATATTGGACCACATTATATACGCAGTCTAAAATATAAATGCACTTAAAACTTTTATAAAAATAAATAACATATATTCATGAGGTTAATTTCTTCCATTTTTTTTATTAGTAGTATACACAGAGCCAATAAACAAAACAAATACATGCAACTTAACTGCTAGAAATATGAACACTTACTTTAATAATAGATGGCATCTTGGAATTTAGGTTATCATATGTGAAATGCAGGCGAGTTCTGAAGGAACATTTATATAATAAAGGATCCTGGTAAAATTCTATTTTACCACTGGCATTTCGTTTATCAAGACAAACTGTACAATCAGAAAAATTGATAACCTTTCTCAGCACCAGATCAGTTGCTAAAAAGAAAAGAAAAACATTTTAAGGAAAATCAGAAAAAATAATAAACTAATATTTATTGCTATAAGTAGTAACAAAAAAAGTTGTAAAAAATTTACTACTATAAGTACTAAAAACAGTAACTTATTACTATAGGTAGTAACAAAAAATCATAGCAGAAAGTAAGATTCATAGAACAGTTAATAAATGTCAGATTGTATGCAAAGAACTTATGTTTTACTTCCCTTAAACCTTATTCTTAAACCTATAATCTTATTAAACATTCACAACTGTCCTCATTTTTATATATGGTGAATCAAAGAGGCCTCCAATTTGCAAGTCAACTATAAGGCAAAATGTATTAAAAAATTTACTAGTGATTTCCTTCAAGAAGATGATAAAATAATAAGAGTTCACATTAAAAATAACTTAAAAGTTGGTTGCCAGTGGCTCATACCTATAAGCCTAACTATTCAGAAGGCTGAAATCAATGAATCATGGTTCAAAGTAAGACTGAGCAGGTTAAGTACATGAAATGGTAATCTCCAATTGACCACCAAAAAACTGGAAATGGAGCTGTGGAGCACTAGCCATGAACAAAAACAGCTCAGATACAGTGCCTAGGCCCTAAGTTGAAGCCTCAGGACCAATACCAAAAAAAAAAAAATAACTTTATATAACACATAATAAATAAATGTTTATATAATAAATAATGTCACTACACTAAAAATTTTACATTACTCTAAATTTGATCTGTCCAATACAGTGGCAATAGTCATTCAGTGCTATTTAAAGTGATATATACACAAAAAATCAGGTACTTGGTTGCATTAGCCACATTTTGAGTGCTTAGTCTCCATATGTACCTAATGCTACAAATTAGCCAGTGAAAATATAAAACCTTCCCAGTATCACAGGAAGTTCTAGGGGACAACACTACTATGAAAATAATGAAGAAATTACCAATAACAGGAACAAAAATAAGGTAATTAGTGGTAAGAAAACAAATTATAAAAGAAAACCTTAAGTATGTAAGTAATTCTTCCTAACAATTCCTAGTAAATATCAGATCAAAATCTATTTGGCCGGCGTGTGCGTGCGTGCGTGCGTGCGTGCGTGCGTGCATGCATGCATGCGTGCGTGCGTGCATGCGTGCGTGCGTGTGTGTGTGTCTGTGTGTGTATGCCTTTAAGATAAGGTCTCACTGTTTAGCTCAAGCTGGCAGTCAACTTGTCATTTTTCTGCCTCTGCTTCCGAAGTGCTGGAACTACAAGCATCTACCAACAGGCTGAGTGGTAACCAAATTTTTTTACAAGTTTTTTATTGTGAAAATACTGTACATAGGAGTTACAGTTACATGAGCAAGGTAATGAGTACATTTCTTATCAAGCATTGTTGCCTCCTCCACTGTTTTTCCCCTACCATTCCTTCCCTCCCACCTATACTACACCTCCCCACACACACCCATCCCCCAAACCCTGCCAAAATTGTAAAGTTCGTTTTTCAAAAGTGTTTTGTACATCTCATTGTTACAATGGGTCAACCTGTATCCCTATTTAAACATTTTGTTTTTTTCCTTCCCCTCCCCAAATTATGCGGACATCAAATACAGTGAAAATAGGGCTATACCATGAGGGAGGAATATACAAAGCAACAAAAAAAATCACATGGTACCTTATAAATACATTAGAAACAACAGCAAGAAAGAAAAAAAACACTTGTGTCCCTATCTTTTGTTTTCACTTTGGTTTGATTTGGTTTGGTTTAATTTAGTTTGGTTTTTGGTTTTTGGTTTTAAAGGAGTGTGGAGTGAGGGGGTTGCTATAATGAGGCAGGTACTATTACAGCTTGAGCATGCCTCCAGACAATTGGTACTCATTATTTTTGAGATAGGGTTTCACTTGAGCCCAGGACAAGTCTGTGCCCCATATAACTACCTTAGATTTCTTGGTAGCTATGAGAACAAGTATATCTAGCTCTTCATCGAGATCAAATGGTTCCTGCTGAGGCTGGCTTCAAACCACAACTTCAACCATCTCAGACTACCAAGAAGCAAGGATTATAGTTGTGACCCACTGACACTTGCCTTTCTGGCCAGTGTTTTTGAAGTTACAATTATGTACATGCTATGGCCAAGAACTCTGTAAACCAGTAAAACATGTTTTAATCCATTCTATGCTATTTCTAAGTATACCCTGTCATCTTTAATAAATTCAATCTTTTAATGTTCTTTCATTTATATTTTTAAGAAGAAAAAACATCAAGAACATGCGTATGTTGAAATAATTGTTTTATTAGCAGATAAATCCCTAATGTTGATTGATTTAAAAAACAATATTTGTGACATATGCACATGTAAACAAATTTAAGAAATTACAGTAAGTAATTTCTTCTAGATGTTTTCTTCCCAATCTTAATTAATATTGTTGTTTCCTCTTACATGCTAACTCTTATCCCTCATCTGTGACCCTGGTTTTAAAAAAAAAAAAAAAAAAGATATAAAAACAGCCAGGCGTAGGTGGCTCACGCCGGTATTCCTATCTACTCAGGAGGTTGAATCTGAGAATTGTAGTTTGAAGCCAGCTCAGGAAAGAAAGTCCATGAGACTCTTATTTTCAATAAACTACTCAGAAAAAGCCAGAACTGGTGATGTGACTCAAATGGTAGAGCAAAAGAAGTTAAAGGACAGCACATAGGCCCACAGTTCAAGCACCAGTAGCCAAAAACAAAAACAATAGCCTTTTTTATTCTTAATAAGTATTTCTAATATTTTTAGTGTGAAATCTAAAACAAAGTGAAGGTAAAGGTAAGCAGTTGGTCAAATGTTACACCGTTTTTAAAGAGCAGAAGTATAATTTAAACTCTGGTCACCTTACTGAAGAGAGTATGTTCTTACCCATTATGTTAAAGGAATGTGATCATATTTCAAGAATATTCTAAATAATTATTCTTTCAAGGCACAATCTAGTTACCCAATACATATCTGATTACAAATCAGAACATTTTTTACAATGTTTTCTTTTTTTATTGTGAAAATACTGTACAGAGGGGTTACAATTACATTGGCAAGATAATGAGTACATTTCTTATCAAGCATTGTAGCCTCCTCCTTTGTTTCCCCTTCCCATCCCATCCTCCCCCGCCCCAGAAAATTCTTTCAGTGGGAAAAAAATTATTAATCTTTAAAAGTATTTTCCTTAAATACTAAAAGAAACAGCAACTATCTTTTTAAAATTTAGTCAATTATCTACATTTTACTATGTAGCAGTACTTTATTCTTTTTTTACAGAACTTTTTTAAGCATGAGTAATTAGATCTAATCCAATGTTTAAATCAAGGAGGAGGCAAGAAAATAGATTAGAGAAATCACATGGGTTGGTATTAGTTGTTAACACTGCAGTTATTCAGACAAGAGGTACTCAACTATTTTGTAACAAGTATGTTACATTCCTTTGTAAATATAAAATGTTGCATTAAAAACAAATGAGAAAGCTGGGCCCAGGTGGGTCACGCCTGTAATCCTAGCTACTCAGGAGGCAAAAAAAAAAGGATTCATTGTATGGGCTGGGAAGGTGGCTCAGTGGTAGAGTGCTTGCCTTGTATGTATGAGGCCCTGGGTTCAATTCCTCAGCAACACATTAGCAGAAAAAGCCGTAAGTGGTACTGTGGTTCAAGTGGTAGAGCACTAGCCTTGAGCTGAAGAGCTGAGGGACAATACCCAGGCCAAAAGTTCAGGCTCCACAACTGACAAAAAAAAGGGCTGGGAAAGTGGCTCTGTCATACAGTGCTTGCCTTGCATGCATGAGGCCCTGGGTTCGATTCCTCAGCACCACATAAGCAGAAAAAGCTGGCGTTGTGGCCCAAAGTGGTAGAATACTAGCCTTGAGCTGAAGAGCTGAGGGACAATGCCCAGGCCCAGAGTTTAGGTCCCATGACTGGCAAAAAAAAAAAAATGAATTCATTGTATATACTACAAACTAAGAAAAGTTAGGAAAGGGGTGAATAGGAGGGCAGGGGAGATACCGAAATGGGTGACACTGATCAAGATGCATTGTATTCATAAACTGCTTTGTTAAATGGTATCTATTTTGTACAACTATTTTAAGATAAAAATTAATTTTTTTAAGTCTGTGGTTACTTAACCTAGGGTTCTATTAACCTTCAGGAAGTATATGCTAAATTTTGTATATATACATGTTTCTCATGCAGAAGACTTACAGCTATTAGATTTACCAAAAGACCAAAGGCCTCTCCCACCAAAAAAAAACATTAAGAAATCAAAGGAATCATTTTATTTATGGAAAAATATATACTATTTTCTTGATATTTACTTACCAGAAATATCCATGAAAGCACGATCCCATAATTCACCCACTGTATAACATTCTGCAGAAGTAATGTTGACTGAAAGAACAATATCATCTTCAACATACTTTAGTATGAGATTATTTATAACAATGTTTACATTATTTACAACTCGTCTAATCAGACTCTGTACATACCCTATAAAACAGAAAAAAAAAGACTTCAATTAGCCACAAGTTTACCAATAATTATTTTTAAAAACACTATTGAACTTAGTATATGTGAAAGGTGGGCATTATTTAGTAGACTTTACAGAAGAAACCAAAGTTCAGATTATTTTTTGTAACTTGTCAAAGTAACACAATAAATAAGTAGCCAAACAAATCCTTTACCAGGAAGCTCTATTATTATTTACTAAAAGAAACCATAAATACCATAGTTATTTAATACCATTATACTACACAAGGTTCATGCTTTCAATCCTTACTACTCAGAAGACTGGAAAATCACAGTTTAAGGGCAGCCCAGAAAGAAAAGTCGGTATGACCCCATCTGCAATTAACCAGAAAAATGCTGATCTGGAGGAAAGGCTCAAGTGACAGAGTACCAGACATGAGTAAAAAAGTTGAGAGCTGCCTTTGGTCATGCACTTCTCCACCAGGAGTACAGTTTAGTAAATAAACTTCTTTTCCTGCCTGAATATCGTGTGGCGCTCTCTCCATTGGCTACATAATTAAACCTACCTATTTAATAATTTACCTTACATATGTTATCATGACCTGGAGGGGTTTTTGTGTCAGGAATGGCACAATTCCACTTTTTTCCATTCCTAACAACCCCCATTTCCACAAACTGAACTGCCATAAGATGCCATGTAAGACTTTTCACCAATATTATTGCTGGCCTTCACATACACATCCACACCACTTCTCTCTCTACTCTGACCCTGGAAACTGAGGCCAAACCATCTAATGTGCTTTGTTACCAAAGGTGTCTAAACATATTGTTGTCAAAAACTTTAGGTTTTGAGTTTTGCCTTTTTTGTTTGCTGTTGCCTGTTCTAGCAATGACCATGTGGTTCTAAAATATTGGGTAAAATAATATCATCTTTCTGCTGGAATTCCAAGAGCCTACAGCCATTATTCATTTTTGCATGCTGTAAAACTTAATGTGCACAATATGTATGTGTGTGCACGCTTATGTATGTATGTCTTTGTCTGCGTAAACTTGTTATCTAGCATTGTAATCAAGTTATTTGGCTTAAATGGTCTGAGATACCTGAAGTTTGTTCAGTTTGGATTTGTAGTTCAGTGCCAGCCAGTCTACATGAAGTCTAGATGGAGTCTGTCTCTTCCAACCTGAAAGATGGCCTCACTCCTGCCTAGACTATCCTGACTACTTCTACCATGGTAAAAGTAGACTGGACTACTGCTTGATTCCATCACATGCAGCTCATAGCTGGTGAAAGATTGATTTGGATTGATTTGGCATTCTTTCTGTAATATTAGATTTGTAAATCTTACCCAGCCTGACCTGGAAAAGGCCGGCTATGCTGTCCTTCTTATGCTAGTGAAACAGGAAAAGCCTCCTGTGAACTTTGGTTAATTTAGGCATCATTAAGGTCACCAGAAGTCAATACTATGTGTACTAAAAGTCTCATCAAACCCTAGGTCTCCTTGGCTCAGGCCGAAATTTTTTGAATAGAGACCCGGAAACACAACAAATCAAAGAAAGGTTGGACAAATGGGATTGCATAAAGTTGCAGAGCTTCTGCAGGGCAAATGACATAGCTAGCAAGATCAATAGAAAGCCCACGGATTGGGAGAAGATCTTTACTAGCCATACAACAGACAAGGGTCTCATATCTAAAATATACTTGGAACTCAAAAAATTAAACCCCCCAACAACAAATCCTCAAAGAAACAACTGCCCAATAAACAAGCGGGCGAAAGACTTAAAGAGAAACTTCTCTGAAGAAGAAAGAAGGATGGCCAATAAACACATGAAGAAATGTTCAACATCCCTAGCCATAAAAGAAATGCAAATCAAAACAACACTGAGATATCACCTCACCCCAGTTAGAAGGCAAAAATCAAGAACTCTAACAACAACAGATGCTGGAGGGGATGTGGACAGAAAGGAACCTTACTTCATTGTTGGTGGGAATGTAAACTTGTTCAACCACTTTGGAAAGCAGTATGGAGGTTCCTCAAAAGACTTCACATAGAGCTCCCCTATGACCCAGCAATCCCACTTTTGGGCATTTACCCAAAGGTTTACAAACAAGACCACACTAAAGCTACCAGCACAACTATGTTTATTGCAGCATTATTTACCATAGCTAAGATATGGAACCAACCCAGATGCCCCTCAGTAGGTGAATGGATCAAGAAAATGTGGTATATATACACAATGGAATTCTATGCCTCCATCAGAAAGAATGACATTGCCCCATTTGTTAGGAAATGGAAAAACTTGGAAAAAATTATATTAAGTGAAGTAAGCCAGGCCCAAAGAAACATAGGTCCCATGGTTTCCCTTATTTGCAATATCTAGTATATGTATGAGTCAAGCAGAAAAGGTCAGATAATGTGATGTCAGGAAAATGAACCCTTAGATATGTATCTTAATGTTTTTTTCTTTCATGCATGTGTTTCTAATGCACTTATAAGATTATCTCTTTGTTGCTTTGTATGTCCCTCCCCCACAGTATAACCCCTGCTTTCACTATATTTGATGTCAGTATAACTTGAGGAGGACATGGGGAAAAACCAGTTGTTTAAAGATACAGGTGGACCTGTTGCAACAATGAGAAGTACAAGTTGTCATGTCCAAAACGAGCTTTACAACGTTGGTGGGGGGGGGGGGGGGGGGGAAGGAGAAAGATTGGGATTGGGGGGGAGGGGGGAGGCTAGGAAGGGATGTGAAGGGTAAACAAAAGGAGGAGGCTGCAATGCTTGGTAAGAAATGTACGCATTATCCTGCCCATGTAACTGTAACCCCTCTGTACAGTATCTTCACAAATAAAATAAAATAAAAAAATAAAAGTCTCATCACAAAAAAAGAAGAAGAAGAAGAAAGTTGAGAGAATGAAAGACTCTAAGTCCTGGAATAAGTGCAAAAAAAAAAAAAATTAAGAGCCGGGAATGGTGGCTCACGCCTGTAATCTGGGCAGGAAAGTCCGTGAGACTCTTAACTCCAATAAAACCACTAGAAAACCGGAAGTGGCACTGTGGCTCAAGCGGTACAGCGTTCACCTTGAGCTGAAGAGCAGAGGGACAGCACCCAAGCCCAGAGTTCAAGCCCCATGACCGACAAAACAAAAAACAAAAAAATTAAAAACCTAATACTAGATCCATATAATAATTATCCTAATCAAATACTTTATTTTTCCATTTTAGAAACATTTTTTTTTCTTTTGGGGGATGGTACTGGAGATTAAACTCAGCATCTGAAGCTTCCAAGCAGGTGCTCTATCACTTTAGCAATTCCTCTCACCCAGTTTTTGTCTTGGTTTCTGACCAAGACAGCCTAATCTGTAATCCACTTTCCTGTGCATCCTTTGAAGTTGACAGATATGTACCAACACATGCAGCCTTTGTGCTTCTCTAGTTAGCTGGATACTAGCACATACATGGCACCAAGCCATTGGTTGAGGTAGTCTCATTAATTTTTTTGGCTGGGGTAGACTGGAACTGGGCTGGCCAGAAATCTTCCAATCTCTGCTTCCTAAGTAGGAAACACACTATGCCTGAACTCAAGCTTTATTTTTTTTTTAATAAATAAGCACAGTGCTCCACACCTATAATCCCAGCTACTTGAAAGGATAGGAAGGAAGAATTGTGTGCTTGAAGCCGGCTGTGACTACACAGTGAGAACATGGCTCAAAAACTTAATTAATAAATTAAAAGGCTTAAATGCAGCAATGTTAGTATATGCTGATTACATCATATATCAGAATATTTAAAAGAAAAAAAATAACAGCCAGACACTGGTAGCTCATTCCTATAATCCTAGCTACTCAGTAGGCTAAGATCTGTGAATCAAGGTCTGAAGCCAGCCCAGGCAAACAAATTGAGATACACACTACCAATTAATCAGCAAAAAGCTGTAAGTGGAGATGTGGCTAAAGTTGTAAGGCTCAAAGTTCAAGTTCCAGTACTGGCACAAATATGTATATATATATGTATATATATATATATTTATTTATATTTATATTTAATTATATATATACATGTATGTGCGTACGTCAGAAAAAAGTACAGAATGAAAGATTTGATGAAAAAAATCAAACCAGGGAGGAGGAGGATTAGGTGGGGGGGGGGATGAATGGGAAGGGATAGGAAGGAGAAACAAAGGAGGAGGCTACAATGCTTGATAAGAAATGTACTCATTATCTTGCCCATGTTATTATAATCCCTCTGTACAGTATTTTCACAAAAAAAAATTAAAAATAAAAAAATTAAACAAGGGAAATATAAAGCAAACTAAAAACAATGGCTTTTAAAATCTTAAAACAACAAAAGTAATAGATGAACATTCTTTATCTCCATGGCTTGCTTAGAATCACTCAAATTTGTCTTTTGATATCATACAGAATACTTTATAACCTCTCAAGTTTCTTACATAAAGGAGATATGTATATCTGACTGAGAAACAACAGAAAATATAAATGAAAATAATTAAATGTAAACAATATTTTAAAAGACAACAAACATAGCTACTAAGGAGGCCAAGATTTGAAGATTGCCATTCAAAGGCAGAAAAGTCTCTGTTACTCTAATATACAGTTAACCAGCAAAAAGCTGTAGAATTGTGGCTCAAGTGATAGAGTCATGAACAAAAATGCTGAGAAACAATACCCGGGCCCTGATTTCAAGCCCTTGTACCAGCATACTTATATTAATTTAAATAAAAGAAAAAAAAGATAAAACTTTTCACTTTACTAGAAAGCATTTTCCACTATAAAAGCTAATTAAAAGGCAACTAAACCTTTAGCTACTTCAAGAAATAATCACAGATATGTATTCTTTGAATCAGAACTTTCACTGGACAAAAATCAAAAACAACTTTTTTTGTTTTGTACTAAAGGTTTGCTACCATAACATGTTTGAAAAAATCATCTCCTCTCAATTGAAGATGTAGCTAAGTGATAGAGTACTTGCTTAACATGTACCAAGACCCAGGACTGAATCCTA